TTATTCATCTCTGTATCCTCAAAGCCTGGCACAGGCTGGCATATAGCAGGTGTCTGATCAACATTTGTCGACTGAATGGTCTCTAACGTCCTTGGAGGACAGTCACAATGACTGGACCAGTCATTTGGATTCAGTCCTCCACAGAGCCCCGCATAGAGCGTGGGCCAAATCACCTTCCCAGCTGTCCCAAACAGGCTGCTTCAGTCGAAGCTCTGTGGCCCTCCCCTTCCCTTCCTGTCTCTTCCCTTCACTTCTTTATTCCCATTTCCAAATATCATCCTCCTTGGACTGTCTAAAGCCCTGTTTTGCTTGCCTCAAACTTCAGGACAAGGGGCTCCTAAATGTGAAATACCAACCAGCCCTCTGGTTTACTTCCTCTCTGCAAGCAAGTCCATAGGCCTTACGTAGGTCTTGTGTAGGTCTTACCTTAGATTCTCTTGGAAGAAGATTCTGAGATAACGATTTGAATGGAAGGGTTTAAGTGGGGAAATGTTTTGATGGTGGAGCAGGAAGTGAGAAAGGAAAGAGAAGAAAGGTGATATAGGATGCTTTAATGAGCAGGTACTGCTGTGGGTTCATTCTTCCTGAGGACTCCTGGGAGACTCTGCTCAGCACATCTCAAGGTCATCCCCCACAGGGAGTGAGGAAGCTGGGGTACTGGTCCACCAAATCCTATCCCAAACTGGCTGAAGGCTATTTGAGGGGTGGGGGAATACTCTCCCAGCACTGCTAGTCTGCCTCATGCACTAGCTGAACACACTCCTGCAGCCAGACAGTCCAGATGCTTGTGGGAACAAGCCATCAGCACGTACAGCAATAGTGAGGTCTGAGGGGATATGGACAGTGGCACCAGCAGCGTATTTGACACAACACATTCTTAGCCTGATGACACAAGGTCTTCCATTCTCTCCTCCCAGTTGGCTCGACTTGGACTGAAACAAAGTTCTCCAGTTGGAAGAGATTCAGCAGTCATCTAGGTTAACCAAACCCCGCTTCTGCTCCGAAATCATCTAAACATTCCTGACAAGGGCACAGTCAGCCTCTTAGTGCCAGGAAACTCACTGTTCTGAAAGGCAGCCCATGCAGTTGGTGTTTTTTAGTTGTTGAAAAAAAATTTTTTAATATATTTTACATTTGTCACCTTGTACTTTTCAACTGTTGGCCTTAGTCTGCCTTTTGGAGCTCCACAGAATGATTCTCCTCCCCCATTCGCAGTAGCCTTTTTAATAGAGTTCCTAAAACTAACTGGTATGTTTTCACTATGACTCTTCACTGGCCCAAATCGTCCACTGCCTTCACCATTCTTACTACAATATGATCTCTAGACCAGTCATTCCCAACCGAGGCCAAATTTGCCTCCCAGGAGACATATTTGGTTATTACAACAATAGCAGGGAGTGCTACCAGCAACTATGGGTTGTGGCCAGGAGGCGACTAAGAATCCTACAAGACACTGGACAATACCCACAACAATTATCTGGCCCAAAATGTCTAAAGTCCTAAGGCTGAGAAAACCCTGCTACAGACACATCATTATCCAGGCCGCTCCCCTCTAGACTTTCTATGAGTTGTCATATATAAAGCACAGTGCTCAGAACTTGGCATGTGGTACCTGAGGGGACAGGGACAAAGAGAGCATGAGAGCATGGGGGTCTTCTCTCACTAGACAATGGAGATGACTGTAGCAGCTAAAGCATCCGCCACGTAAGGCCCCTCCTCTTCAGTGTGTAGTCAGGGAAAATCTCCAAGTCCTACTGAAACAAACTGCTCTCAAGCCAATAGTTAAGAAACCAAAACAAAGCTATAAAAAATATACATGCAAATTTAGGAGGTAGTGTTCCCTCTGAACATCTCCACAATCCTTTAATCATAGTAAATTGAATAAAATTCCTTTCTTTTTTACCCTAATGGAATTCTTTCAAATTTTCATCACTTGAAAATATGATAAGTTGCCTTTTATATACTTTCATCCAAGCCACTTCTGAAAACATCAGACAGGCCAATGTTGATCTATTTCTCAGCACTTTTTAAAAAAGGCTGTGTTGTCCAGCTATGGATTCATTTAATTGTAGCTTACATTTATTTATTTCATGTAAGAAAACACCAGGCCTAGATGGTTTTACTACTAAGTCCTATCAAACATTCAAAGAAAAATTAATTCCTATTTTATTTAAACTGTTCTAGAAAATGGGGGGAGGGAGGGGGAAAAGATAATCCTAAAATCAAAACCTTTCAAGCACAGTGCATGAAAAGAAGAAAATTATTGGAAAATCTCATTAATGAACTTAGATGCAAAATTCCTTTAAAAAAATACCAAGTTCAATCTAGCTTTGAATTTTATATTTTATAAAGTGACTGAGTTTTGGAGGAGAACTAAGATAGCAGTGTAGGTAAATGCTGGTACTCACCACCTCTCACAACCACATCAAAATTATAAATAAAATACAGAACAACCATTATTCAGAACTGCCTGAAATGTGGCTGAATGGAAGTCCTACAACTAGAGAAGTAAAGAAGAAAGCACACTGGGACTGGTAGGAGGTGCGGAGTCCGACAACTATGTGTGGTGTGTTTTGTAACTGGGAGGAATATTTTGGCTGCAGAGGCCTCCTGTGAGGAGCAAGGGGTCCCAGTCCCACAACAGAACCCGAGCCCAGTGTTCCAGAGCTGGGAAGAGAAGACCCCCATAACTTTGGGCTGTAAAAACCAGTGGGGATTGTGGCTGAGTGACAAGGAGGTTGCTGGAGTCCCAGGCAATTTCTCTTAAAGGGCCAATGCAGATTTACTTGGACTCACTCCTCTGAGCATGGCTTGGGGAAATCTAGGGGCATACAGAGGGGAGCTGGATTGTCTAGCATCGGGGCAAGAACTTGGGGAGGTTTTCTCACAGACAGGGGTGCTCTCAGGGTGAGTCTCCATCAACTTAGCCCACACTGTTCACTCCACCCTGGTAATTCCCTGAGACCCCACCCCATCTAATTTGCAGCCCCAAGCTATTTGCAGTGGCTGTCCTGGCTTAGGCTTCAGACTTTCCTAAAATCTCTCAAACAAGCATCAGCTGGCATCAGCATGCCCCATACCTCTCAATAAGAGGCCCAAGACCTGGCACTAGCAGCAGGTTGGCCTCTCCTGGGAACTTCCAAACCCAACACAAGTAGCAGCCAGCTGCAGATCACTCTGTAGCCCCTGTTGGGTGGCTCCAGGAAGTGGCTGATTTTGCACCTCCCCAAAGGCCAAAGCTAGTATACCTTAGCTTCGGATCACACCACATTAAAGTTCTACACATCCATGTCCGACACACTAAGGGGCAGACTCAGTGAGCACCAAAGCCCCACTGAAGCAACTCCTGCTCCATAGGGTGTCTCCTACAGAGCAACTCTTCGACTGTAATCACAGCTGGTCCTCATAGCTAATTGGCCAAGAGGTCAGTTCCTACCAGTGATGCCAACAGCAATCGAGGCTCAACTACAACAAGACAGTGCACACAGCCCACACAGTGGCACGCCTAGCTCAGCTGACTGGGGTGGCTGAGGCACTAGGCCCTACAAGACACCTACTACACAAGGCCACTCAACAATTCCAGGAAACATAGCAGCTCCTAATACATAGAAACAAACACAGGGAAGCAGCCAAAATGCAGAGACAAAAAAACATGTCACAAATGAAAGAACAGAAGAAATCTCTAGAAAAAGAATTAAATGAAATTGAAGCAAGCAAACCACTGGATACAGAGTTTAAAACAATGGTTATAAGGGTGCTCAAGGATCTTAATGAGAGCTTCAAGGGACTTAGTGAGAACTTCAAGAACCTTAGTGAGAAAATCAAAGACATGAAAAAAGACCAGTCAGAAATTAATCATACAATAACTGAAATAAAGAATAATTTACAGTAAAGAAGATGCTGAGAATCAAAATCCATGATTTGAAATATAAGGAAGCAAAAAGAGCAACAAAACAAAGAAACAAACAAAAACAATCAGAAGAGCATAAAGAAGAAAAAATCCGAAAATATGAAGATAGTGCAAGGAGCCTCTAGGACAACTTCAAGCGTACCAACCAAAAGGAGAAGAGAGAGATAGCAAGATATTGAAAACCTATTTAAAGAAATAATGACAGAAAACTTCCTCTACCTGGTGAAAGAAATAAACTTACAAGTCCAAGAAGCACAGAGAGCCCCAAACAAGAGGAACCCAAAGAGGCCTACACCAAGTCCCATCATAATTAAAATGTCAAGGTTTAAAGACAAAGAGAGAATCTTAAAAGCAGCAAGAGAAAAGCAGTTAGTTACCTACAAGGGAGTGCCCATATGACTGTCAGCTGATTTCTCAAGAAACTTTGCAGGCAGAAGGGAGTGGCAAGAAATATTCAAAGTGATGACTAGCAAAGACCTACAACCAAGATTACTCTATCCAGCAAAGTTAGCATTTAGAATTGAAGGTCATATAAAGAGTTTCACAGATAAGAAAAAGCTAAAGGAGTTCATTACCACCAAACTAGTATTCCATGAAATGTTGGAGGTTATTCTTTAAGAAGAGGAAGGAGGAGGAGGAAGAGGAGAGAGGAGGAGTAGGAGGAGAAAAAGGGGAAAAATATGACCAATAAAATGGCAATAAATACATATCTATCAATAATTGAATCTAAAAAACAAAATAAACAAACAAGGAATCTAATGAACAAAATAAACTGATGAATAAAACCGAACCAGAGGCCTGGAAACATGGAACAGACTAATGAACCTCAGAGTGAAGGGGGAAGGGGGAGTGCTGGAAGAGATTAACCAAAGAACTTATATGCATATATGCATTACCTATGGTCACAGACAATAAGATGGTGAAGGCCTGCGGTGGGGCAGGAACTGGGTGGAGGAAGGCAATGGGGATAAAAAAGAGGGACATCTGTAATACTCTCAACAATAAAGATTAAAAAGAAATAAAGTCATTGAGTTTTGTTTATTCCAATAATGTAGGGTAGTTTAATAGAAAATCTATTAAAGTTATTCACTGTATTAATAGATCGAAGGGGTGGGAAGTACTCAGGAATGGACCACAGGCACACAAAGAAACATTCTTTTTCTTGAGTAGTGACTATGTATTGGTTACCCTTTTCTGTGTAAACAAAAAATTCCACAACATTTCTGTGATATAAAATAAGCATTTATTTTTCATACATTTTTGGGTAAGCTGGGGTCAGCTGTTTCAGGTTGGGCTCAGCTGGCCAGCTCAATGTTAAACTGCAGGTCTGCAGGTCAGCTGGGTGACTATATCCATGTGACTCATTCTTGGACCAGGTGGCTAGCTGTTGCAAGTTCATCTCATGGCAGTGCAAAGTATTCAGAGGGTGCCCCCAACAGGACAAACACACTTCATGCCCCTGCTTGCATAACATCGGCCATCATCCCATTGGCCAAAGCAACCTGAAAGGTGCAGTTCAAATAGGGTCCTACCCAGTGTGGCTCAGTGGTTAAAGCATCAGCCTGCAGACTAAAGGGTCTCAGGTTTGAGCCTGGTCAAGGGCACGTACCTTGGTTGCAGGCTGAATCCCCAGCCCCGGTCGTGGCGCATGGGGGAAACAATCAATCAATGTGTCTCTCTCACATTGCTGTTTCTCTCTCTCTTTCTCCCCCCTGCTCCCTTTCACTTTCTAAAAAACAAAACAAAACAAAACAAAAACCCCCACAAAAAATCAATGTAAAAAATATCCTCAGGTGAGGGTTAACAAACAAACAAAAAAAAGTCAAGGAATGGGGAAGTATACTCTGTCCTTATATACCATCCCTTGCTGGTTTCCTTATGGCATGGATGTAAGGAAGAGTGAAAAATTGAGGCCAAAGACTAAATATCACAGGGCATATAGGTATTTTAGTACTTACAACTTACAAATATGATATACACATATACACATAATTTGTTATGTACAAAATATTTCATAATAAAAATTAAATTTACACATTATAAGTACACTTTGAGACCCTGCTTATTTACTAGTCTCATAACCTTATCCAAAAAGGAAATGAAGTTAGTTCAGTAGGAGTTGTTTTTTCATGATCACCTCTACTTTTTCCCATTCTTTCAACCTCTTCCAAAAAGAATTTAAAGAGGTTTACAAAGCACTGAGAAAAAATAAATTTACAATACATCAGAAAATGAAGCAAAGGGGAAATAAAGTTTACCAGAGCAAGATGGGAGCTGGGATGACAATTGCATTTGGCTGGATATTCCCCGTTTGCTCTTCTAGATTCTCCCCCCACCCTTTTCCTCCTGCCCTCTGCTCCTTTAAGGGCTCTCTTGTCTCCAGTTTCTCCTATAGCTACAGGTCTTGCTGGGTTCTGATGACTCTGTCCTCTTTCTGCGTAAGGCCTAGAGGCTGGTAACACTTCCTGTGAACCATCCCTTGCTGGCTTCCTTAATCCTTCCATACGTTTGTAACTTAACTTCTTCATGAAATTCTCTTTAGGTAACCCTTTTAAAGATGCCATGTTTCCTGTCAGGGACCCTGATTGCAATAGGCCACAAATCGTATGCCTTAAGTCTAATGCCTACTAGAAGGAGACCATAAATACAGCTCCAAGGTCTCAGTGTGATTATCCAGTGGGAAACACAATCAATGAGAGACTAATTCTTCAAGAGAAGCAGATCTACTGCCTCTCTGTGCCCACTTCTTCTATGTGCAGGGTAAGATGGCCCAGCCTTTGGCAGCAGTCTCTGCCCTGACTATCTCCAGTCTGGATGCCCCACAGGAGGGCTGAAGGACAGAGCCATTGCACGTGCTGTGTCCTGGGATGCTGCCGTGGTGGAACCTGGCACCTGGACGATGCCAGTGAAATCCTAGGTGATGCCTGGCTCATCTTCCTTGGCTTTCCTTCCATCACACTTTATTTTATTTTTTAATCCTCACCTGAGGATATTTTCCCATTGATTTTTAGGGAGAGTGGAAGAGAGAGGGAAAGACAGAGAGAAACACTGATGTGAGAGAAACACATCGATTGGTTGCCTCCTGCACAAGCCCCAACCAGGGCCCAGGCCAGGGAGAAGCCTGCAACCAAGGTACGTGCCCTTGACCAGAATCAAACCCAGGACCCTTTGGCAGGCCGATGCTCTATCCACTGAGCCAAACCACCTAGGGCTCCATCACCACTTTTTAAACAAATGTACACAAGTTGTGTTTTCTATGATACCTGTCCGTGATTTCCTAGAGTTGGGGGTCCCCCTACCTCCTTTACCTGATAAACTTTTCTTTTTGTACCAACAGATCTGGGCCCAAGACACTGAAAGGGGATTTCTAGAATAAATGTATAAACTGTAAAAGACAAAGAAAGAGAGAGAGAGAGAGCGCGAAGCAGACCTATTCCTGACACCAAGATGGGCAAGAAATTTTCTGTGATTGCTCAATGAGAGGTCATCGTATAATGACCACGTTCTTTTGTCTTACAAATCATCTCTAATTATTCAGGGCTCAGTCCTAAAATATCTTCTCTGCTATCCACACTCACTCTCTAGTTATCTCATCCAGTCTCACAGCTTTAAATAACATATATATCCATATATATGCTGATGACTCCCAATATGTATCTTCTGTCCTGACTTTTCCCTGAATTTTAGTTTTTACTATCCAATTGCCTGCACTGGATGTCCAATAGGCATCTCAAACTCTTGGCATGTCCAAAATAAAACTATCCATCTTTATTCCATAATCCTCTCTTCTAGATCTTCCCCCATTTCAGGAGGGGGTCCCAGCATCAATCATTTGGCTATTTAGGGTGTGTGTGGGATGGGGGTGTGACAAAAAACTGTCATCCTTCTTTCCCCTCTTTTTTCTTAAAATCCATCATCCTTGATTAATTTTCCTCACACTCCACATTCAATCCATCTAACAGCGCCGCCATTCCTGTTCCTGACTTTACTCTTCTTCAGAGCACTAATCAGCACTGACATTGCATTAAATGTAAATAGGCAGTTATGCATTTGGTTGTCTGTCTTTCCACTTAGAATGTAAGCACGGAGAAAATACATTTCTTTTATTCACTCCAGCATCTCCAGCGCCAGGTACAATACCTGGCACATAGCAAGCTCTTGATATTTGTTGAATGAACAAAAGACCCCATTCTAGTTTTCATTTCTTGACTCAAACTCAGCAAGATCCAAGAAATATTCGAGTCTCAATTATGTGAGTGGCACTTAACTAGATGCTTAGAGCTTTAAAAGTATACCTAGCAGTCCCTGACCTGAATTGTGAACTTCTGGAAGGTGAGGAGTGACTGGGAGAGGGCACAGGGGGCCCTCAGAGCGCCGGAAACGTTCTCTAATACGTAATTACAAACGTATTGAGCCATACACTTACAGATTTGTGTATTTCATTTTAAGCTGCACCCCAATAAGTATTCAAGTTTCTGACCTATGTAGATGCACCCACAGGTAGTTTCCACGGTGGCCAGAGCAATGCCAGAGGTCTGCGGAGCCTGCCTGCCACGTAAGCAGTGAGAAAGCCACCCTTCAAGTACTGACGGGCATACTCGTTAGAAGGAAAAGCGGAGGCTGTGTCCTGTTCCCAGGGATCACGGACCTTCTTCAGTGCCCTGGGACCACTTTTCTCAACCTGGCCCCTGCTACAGGAAGCTCCGCCTGTTGGGGAGCAGATCCCGAGTTGAGATGGAGCACATGAGAGCCCCCTCCCCCCCGCAGGAGCCTGGGGCTAGAGAGAGGAAGGATGGAGCAGTCCTACGCTTTAGATTCTTCACCATGTGCCCGAGGAGGTGGACACCGCATGCATCCACGTGCGTTTGGAGGGGCATCAGCACAGACAGCCCACGGAACGTCACAAAGCCGGCGCACGCTGGAGCCCGGCGCCCAGTGCGCACGCTCAGCACCCAGCCGCGCTACGCAGGCGCACTGCGGCGCGGCGCCGGGCTGCGGGAGCGCCGGTTCCCGGCGGGCTCCCAGGAAGCGAGGCGCGCGCCATGGAACAGCGGTTAGCCGAGTTCCGAGAGGCCCGGAAACGGGCCGGGCTGGCGGCCGAACCCAGCACTTGCAGACAGAGCGCACAAACCTCGGGAGAGAAGGCGGAAGCAACTGCCACTCCAAAGTCAGCCCCAGGCTGGCTAAGACGATTCCTGGTGTGGAGACCGAGGCCCGCGAGTGCCCCGGCCCAGCCCGGCCTCGCTCAGGTGAGAGGAGGGAGGCCTCGCTGGGGACCTAGCTTCGGGGCCGCTGTCGTGGCTCCTCTGGAAACTCCGGCTGAGGCTCCGCCCCTTCCACCACGTGGTGGCTTTCAGGCCCCGCCCCCGTGAGGAGCAGACTCGGGCTGGAGCGGCCCCGCCCACACGCCCTGGCCCACAGGCCACGCCTCCTCTGGTTTCGCCGGGGCCTTCGCGGGAGGGGGCGGGGCTTCAGGCACCTCCCACCTGCTCCCGGGCTGGGCCTTGGTCTCTTTGTCACCCCAGTGATAAGTGGATTTGACAACTTCTTTCCTGCAACTCCTGATTCCAGGTGGGAAGCGAAGGTCTAGGAGAGCGATTTTCAATCTTTTTCACCTCATGGCACACAATTACTAAAATTCTGTGGTACACCAAAAAACATGTTTTTGCTGATCTGACAAAAAAAAGGTATAATTTTGATTCATTCACAACAGATGGGCTGTTGTTGTGTTGGCTGTTGTCATTTTTTAAATTTTACAATCTAAGGGGAAAGAGGTCAGTGCCCCTAAGTAGTCAGCTATTGCATTGAAAAAATTCTTGCCGCCACCTCTCGTCCTCCCCGTTGAAAGTCTGTTGAAAGTCTTTGGAAGCCTCTGGCCTGGGGTCCTGGAAGAAAGCTCCTCTGCCCTTGAGTTATTAACAAGGAGTTGAGTTATCGTTGTGACACCCTGTGGCTCTCAGAAACCTCTCCACAATGGTGTTGAGCCATAGCCCTCCGCTAATGGAGGGTGAAAGGTCTAATTAGATGCTGATTAAAAAGTGGCAGCAATTAAGGCTTCATTGGATTTTGCACCTGGACCACATGCAGCCAGTAACCCACGTTTGAATACAAAACTTGCCAAAGTGTGGTGGCTGTAACTGCCAGAGGTGGCATGCCCTTGTGCGCTGCCATTGAACTAGACTAGCAAAAAGTTCAATACTGAATGTTGAAGGTGAAAACAGTATTTGGTATGATAGCGTTCTCGCCCTTTAATCCTTTTGGTAGCTCTTATTCTGCAGATGAACTTAATTCACATCCCTGTATCTTTCTCTAGTTTTCACTCATGAATAAAGTGGCCAGGTGAGTTGCACGTGAGATTGGAGTATCTAAGGGGGAATACAGGACAAAACAGCAAGGGGAAAATCAGTGCTTTGAGACCATCTGTGGCATGGCCACGGCCTTGCAGTGGTCGGAGAGCGAGGGAAGCTCTGACACGCGGCTGCTCGCCGGCACTGAGGGACAAGAAGTCCTGGTGTCCCGGGGAGGCGAGCAAGTTCATTTATTATTGCACAACATCTGGTTGGGTTTTCTTTCAATCCTCACCCGAGGATATTTTTCCATTGATTTTTAGAGAGAGGGAAAGACAGAGAAATATCGATGTGAGAGAAACACATTGATTGGTTGCCTCCTGCTTGAGCCTCAACCAAGGCCTGAGCCGGGGAGGAACCTGCAACCGAGGTACGTGCCCCTCACTGGAATTGAACCGGGGACCCTTCAGTCTGCAGTCTGATGCTCTATCCACTGAGCCAAACCAGCTAGGGCCACAACATCTGGTTTTAGGGAATTTTTTTAAAAAAATCATGAATTGTTACTTAAGTTTGATATGTTCTCCATGACAGTCAGGGTTCTAACTGACTCCCAGAAAAGGTGCTGTAGGGTTCAAACAATCCATTTTCTTGCATGCAGTTTGTCTCAGGGTAACTTTATTGTCAATTAGAGCCCCCTGAGCACAATTACTTAAGATTTTAGAATCTACTTCCTCTACCCTTTTTTTCTCCCTGCAGTTAAAAAACGATGTCTAATCCACACATTGAGTTTCTGACTGTATGTCTCATTATCAGAGGAATATGAGGTCATTGAGTTGGACCCAGAGAATCTGAACTTGGAGAAAGCTTCTGCTGTTAAAAACCCAAAAGCTGGTGGCCTGACCGCAGGATGAGAGGAAGTGCTGGACCTGCAGTTGGTTCTTATTAATCAAGCTGTTTCTGTCCTAAGCTCATTTTCATGCACTCACTTATCATTCCTGGGGTTGCTCTGGTGTGACAATTCTCATTACATTTTTTTTCTAATTTATAATCCATCTCTGTCTAATAATTTTGGTGGCACACAGTGGCATGTCATATATCTTAAGACTTCTATTTGTAATTTTCAGTAGTCATTGATAAGGAAGCGAACACATCTTCCTTCCCCCACTCTCAAATTTCTTCCTTTCTGTGACAAGCTTCTGCCACAATAGGACAAAAATGCTTGTAACTTTTTTTAATCCTGTAGAAACCCCCTGCCTCTCTCCCAGGCATATCCCCCACCAGCCGCAGGGCACTATCTAGTCCAGGGCCTACTGCCCACACCTGGCTTGCAACTCCTCACCTCCAACCCTTGGCTCAGGTTGGCCCACTGCTCAAATGTGCTTTTCCTTTGGAGTCACCTGGCTAAGCACAATCTTTGCATCAGCCCCTCAAATCCAGGAGTCACCTTTTTGTGTCTTCCTTTCCCTCACCACCACTCAGCAAAACCCTGTCATGTGCCCACTGTGTTCCAGCTACTGCCCTCAATCTGGGGGGACACTGAAAGCGACACACAAAATGCTGCTCTCACAGAACCAGCTTTTGGAGAGGAGACAATGAAAGAAGAGAATGGTGAATGCTATGAAAGGGGAATGAGGAGCAGACACTGGTAGTGAACTGGGTGAGGGGTGCAGAGTGCTACTTTAGATTGGGTAGGCAGGCAGGACCTCACCAGGAGGTGGCATTTCATAAGAAGGAGCCACTCTTGCAGAAACCTGGGGACAAGGCCAGGCCACATGTGACGTTTTTGCTGAGGTTTATAGGAGCAGAGGGAGCCAGCCAGGTGACGGGAGGGGACAGGGGCATTCGTCTCAGAGGGAAATACTAGTACAAGTGCAGAGGCCCGGAGGTGGGAAGCAGCTTGGTATTGGGGAATGGAAGCATCTTCCCTAAACTGTGCCTACATGTGCTGTGAGACCACAAACCCTCCCACTGCCACACAACAGAAGGTGCCCTGGAACTGGAACAAAGGCCAAGCGAGGCTGAGGACGTCCCATATCCCTCCTCTCCTTTCTTTGTCCCTTTGCCAGTTCGTTTAATCTTCCCCACTTCTTCTAGCTCTTTACCCTCCCCTTTACCATCCCCCACAAAGGCTCCTAAGGAAGTAACAAGGCTTTGGAGGGAGACCATTCTCAGATCCTAGACCAGTCTCATCTCTGCTTATCATCTGGTGTGTGACTTGAGGGGAGCTACTTACCGTCTCAGTGATCCATTACCAGTAAATTGGGAATACCAGTGCCTGCCTGGATTACAGGAGATCAGGCATTTTGAAGGCACTCAATAAATAAATGATGGTGCAAGCATTATTTTTATACTCCCTCAATAGTAAAATAAATTCACTTTGCTATGAATTTCAAGTCATACACATTCAAAATGTATTCTGTATCCATCAGTCCATCACTTCTCTCTGACATCTGGGTCACCACCTTAATCCCTGCCTGTTCCTCTCTTACTGGGCCTGATACTACTAGCAATTTCCCCTACGTCTACCCTCGAAGCCCATTCTCTACCTGGCAGCCAGAGTAGTCTGAAATATAAATTGATTATATTAGTTCCCACTAAGACCTGAGGGATTTCCCTATTGTGTACACTGTCAAATCAGAAAGGGACCTTTTTCTATTTAATAAATGTCTGTTGGGGTGGGGTGTTTGCTGATGATATGTTAAGGGCCTTTACTGAAAAGGTAATTACAGTATTGATGCTAAAAAAAGAAGGTTCTAACAAAATAGAATTTCTGAAGCAATATAAATCAGATGATCTGTATTTTTTTTCAATCCTCACCTGAGGACATGTTTTTATTGATTTTTAGAGAGAAAGGAAGGAGGAGGAGGAGGAGGAGGAGGAGGAGGAAGAGAGAGAGAGAGAGAGAGAGAGAGAGAGAGAGAGAGAGAGAGAGAAATGTGAGAGAGAAACTTCTTTTGGCTGCCTCTTGCACGTGCCCCAACCAGGACCAAACCCACAACTCAGGTATGTGCCCTAACTGGGAATTGAACCAGTGACCTTTCAGTGTACAGGATGATGCCCCAACCAACTGAGCCAGCTGGCCAGGGTGATCTGTATATTTTATTGAGACCAAATATAGTTGTGATCCCTTTTAAAATGAAGTGAAGAAAAAAAAAAAGAACACCCTAAAAAAATAAAATGAAGTGAAGTGAAGAAGAGGAGATATAACTGAAGAAATGAACTAAAAGTTCTTCTGTGGATTGAGAACCTATGTGTGGGTGCTGTTTGGCTCTGGAGACAACCAAGGATAATATATGGCAGTCTGTGTCTTCATGGTGACAATCTAGGGATACAGGTGACCTATATTAAAAGGACACTTCAGCCCTGGCCAGGTGGCTCAGTTAGTTGGAGCGTCGTCCCCTACACCCAAAAGGTTACGGGTTTGATCCCCGGTCAGGGTGAGTATGGGAAGCAACCAATTGATGTTTCTCTCTCACATCAATGTTTCTCTCCCTCTCTCTCACCCTTTCTCTCTCTCTCTCTCTCTATCTCTATTTTTTTCTATTTCTTTTCCCCTCTCTCTAAAATCAATAATCATATCCTCAGGTAAGGATAAAAAAAAGATACTTAAGTATTATTTTACCTCGGGTTTATTATTTTTGAGACAATTTTTTCTTTAATAGTCATCTGTGTATTATTGTATTGTGTGTCCACCACCCCAAGTCCAGTCTCCTTCTATCACCAGTTACCCCCTTCACCCTCTCCTCCCTCCCCCACCGCCCTTTCCCTCAGGGAAATCACCACACTGCTGCCTGTGCCCGTGAGTTTTTTTCTTTACTCATTCCCTTTACCTTTTCCACCCAGCCCCTGACAGCTGTCAGTCTGTTCTCTGTATCTGTGTCTGTTTCTGTTTTGTTTGTGAGTTTAACTTACTAAAATAAATAAATAAAAGAGACACTAGCTGAACAGTTTGGTGCTCAGTGAGAAAGAGCCAGCCGGTGCTCGGAAGGCTGAGGGCACCTTCTCGGTGGTGGAGAAGGTCGAGGCATGCACAGCGCACCAGTCATGCCTGCCTGGAAGGAAGGCAAGGAGCCAAGGCATGGAGAGGACCAGAGGCGATTCCAGGCCAGACGGGCAATGGCCTCGGCAGTGAGACCAGTGGAAGTGGATAGAGGGTTCATTTATACAGTTGCGGATTGTGCTGTGCAGGAAATTTTTTAGACTATTTTTCAAATGGTAAGTCAGGACCCTTTAGTGAGTGGTGACATCAATTTAGAGAAATCTAGTCCTCTGTTAAAATAAAATAAAAAATAGAATAGAAAATAACAGCTTCATATGATGTGAAGATATTTGTTGATTTGTGAAACTTTTTTTCTGTTACATATACATACACATACACACATACATATACATATACATATACATATACATATACATATACATACATGTACATGCATGCTGGGTCATGTATCTTTTATTCTAGGTCAAACCCAAAGAGGTTTGGAAAAAATACTGGAGTAGAGACCAGCTCCCTAAAATGGCCTAAATCCCCGTGTCTCCCTTTAGCACCAGCACAGCAGCCTGTGTATTGGCATTTCTATCTGTTGAATAAATGGAAGGCCTTGGATTGCAGCCCAAAGAGTTTAAATTTTAACCTCTAGGCAATAAAAATTTGTTGAAGGCTTGTGAACAGGAGGTTGATGGGTGTTTTAGGAGATTCATTTAGCAACTGTATGTACACAGGATGGCGTGGGGAGGGAAGAGATAGGAGGCGAGAGTCCACTTAGGAGGCACTGCCTTGGCCTGGGGATGTATAGGATGGAAAGGTTGTAGCTGTAACAGCAATTTTTATTTTTTAATATGTAGAGGGGGTTTTCTTTCCTGTTTCTGGTATAGTGCTCATTTTAGAATCATGTCACTCAAAATTTTAGCTCATCTAATCAAATCAACAACCATATCGATTCTGTGTGAAGCATACGCATGGCTATTGCATTACCAATGACTGGGGAGCTTCTGTGTGGGGCGCACATTAGCTCTTGTTAGCAGCAGACTCCTCTGAGGAAGTGCCTCCCACAAAGGGAACCCATCTGCGTGCTGTAGGGTTTTCATCGGGTCATCTCACTAAGTGCTGACCGGTTTGGGGCCGGTCGGAGCAGGGCACAAGAGCTCTTTGGGAGATGATTGTTTCAGAGAGCAGGGCAAGGAAATAGAAATCAATGAGCCAGAAGCCTTCCGGGGACAATGAGAGCTGCCTCTCCAGATTGGTTTCCATCCTCTCAGCCTCATTGCCCTTTATGTTTACCTTTGCTTGTTTGTGTCCTAGGAAGCCGCTCAGCCTGGGAGCAGCACGTCACAGCCCCCACGGAGGACAGCCGTTCCCCCACCGTTGCCACGGGACCAGTCCTTCCTGACCAGCATCACCTTCTTGAAGGTTCTTCTCTGGTTGATCCTGCTGGGACTGTTTGTGGAACTGGAATTTGGCCTGGCTTATTTTGTCCTGTCCTTGTTCTACTGGATGTATGTTGGGACACGAGGTCCCGGGGAGAAGAAGGAAGGAGAGAAAAGCGCCTACTCTGTGTTCAACCCGGGCTGCGAAGCCATCCAGGGCACCCTGACTGCAGAGCAGTTAGAGCGCGAGTTACAGCTTAGACCCCTGGAGGGGAGATAGGAGCAGCTCTGCTGCACGCCTTGGCCCTCCTAGCCCTTGGCCGTGGACCTGTGGGATTGTTCAGGTGCCCCAGACTAAGGACAGCTTGCAGGCTAGTCCTGTGACAGCGCAGTTCTACCTGTTTTCCCTGACCTGCTGCAGTTTTATCTTTGAACTTCTATTTGGTTTTGGTGAAATTCCCTGAAAGATACTCACTGTGTATCTGATGCAATTATAAAAATTACATACTGGAGAGGAGACCTATTTGTGTCCTGATTTTGAGAGATGGTTTAAGAGCACTACAGAGGCACTGGGGAGCTGACTGTGAAAATAGCCAGCTGTTTGTTGTGATGGTCATGTCTATGGGACTGTACACTAAAAGTAAATGTTCTCTGTAAGTCTTTTCATAGTTCTGGCATTTTTTTCCCCTGGGAAGTTTAAGTTGAAAATTTTGGTTTTTTCTTTCTGTTTTGTTTTGCTTTTTTGGTCATTAATAGTATTGCAAAAAAAAAAAAATCTTTACAACAGCTACTCTTCAGAGATAGAGCCCATTGCCCATCTCCATCCTCCACTCTCCTCATTGATCCTGCCCCGACTCAGTGAAGGAAGACAAAGTCCTGGTGACGTGTGGGGAGGGATTTCACCTAGTCAATATGGGCAGATTTGATAAATAGTTATTAATGATGAAGTCAGCCGGAAAAAATTCTCGAGTGTGTACAGAGGGGAGCCCTGGAAGCGGAATCCAGACTCGCTGGCTGCGTGGTGGCTTCCTGTTTAGAGAAAGCAGTGCCTCTGCCCGTGGGCCTCTGGTGAGAAACTGTAAATAGTGGTAATAGGTTTGCTTTCAGTGTTCCTTCTCCTTCCGGTACAGAGTTAGAGTTTGGGTTCATTTAAATTGAGCAAAGGAAACCATTAAAAACTTTTAAATGGATCACACTGAGGAGTAAGAGGACTCTAGTTTTAAAGCAATAGTGTTTTCCAAACTTAAGATTTTAAGCAATTAATGATTCCCCAGCAGATTTCCCACTTCCGAATTCAGTTATTAATTCTGATACTATGAAAGTAACTTTAATATCTATGAGATATTATTAAGTAATGGAGGCCTTACTATTAATTTTTTTTCCATTTTTGCCTGATTAATTTATTACAGCAAAGTCTCAGCTCAATTTAAAGTTAGCTTTTGTTCATTGAATGCCAGCGCTCTGATAGGTGCTTGAGATATGATCATGAGAAAAGCAGACATACCCCAAGTTCTCCGAGCATACAGTCTGGCCAGGAGTGGGGTGGTGGACAAAATAAAATAAGCGTGTCCAGTAATAGAGATAAATTTAGTTATAGAAGGAGTACAGAGGAGATGTTCTCAGTTGTCACCTTTTGTGGCCAACTAACCTCAGGGGTTACAGCCATGCTGAAAACTCTGCTATGCATTGCTCCTCTTGCCAGCCCTTTGCTGACTGGGAGTTTGACTGTCCGTCAGAGTCAGCCAATTGAGCAGAAAGTCCCTTTAGCTCATAAAGAAGTCTTTTCTTCCATGACTTTTGTCTGAAGTGGATCTGTAGAGAGTATGGGAAACAGAATCCCTACCAAACTTGCAAGTTTTCATTATATTGAAGACGCATGATTTGGTCTTCTGATTGATTTTATTAAGGCTTTCTTCATTTCCCTGCTATTTTTATTTTTATTTATTTATTTATTTATTTAAAATATATTTTATTGAGAGGAAGGGAGAGAGATAGAGAGTTAGAAACATCGATGAGAGAGAAACATCCATCAGCTGCCTCCTGCACACTCCCCACTGGGGATGTGCCCGCAACCCAGGTACATGCCCTTGACCGGAATCGAACCCGGGACCCTTCAGTCCGCAGGCCGACGCTCTATCCACTGAGCCAAACCGGTTTCGGCATTTCCCTGCTATTTTTAAAATATATTTTTATTGATTTCAGAGAGAAAGGGAGAGGGAGGGAGGAATAGAAACATCAATGATGAGAGAGAATCATTGATTGGCTGCCTCCTGCACACCCCCAACTGGGGATTGAGCTCACAACTCGAGCAGGTGCCCTGACCAGGAATCCAGCCACAACCTCCTGGTTCATAGGTTGATGCTCAACCACTGAGCCATGCCAGCCAGGCATTTTCCTGATATTTTACTTGGGATTTTTCATCTTATAAAAGCTAAATTCAAGGAAGAAATATTTTTTAAAAGTATGTTTTTATTGATTTTTAGAGAGAGAGAGAGGAGGGGAGAGGGAGAGAGAGAAACATTGATTGACGCTCAACCAACTGAGCCACACAGGCTCAGGGTAGAAGAAATATCTTTGATCAATGAGCATTGTTCTAGGAAAGAATTAATTTGCATTTTAAGACTATAATTCAGACTTTCCCCTAAAACAAGGTGCCTGTAACTCTCAATTAGGAACATCGGATTCAATGACTAATCCCAGCAAGGTAGAGACTTCTCATAAGTGTAGAAGAGAACAACTTATGAGTGGACCACTAGTGCTCTTTGGAAATGTCACTGTTTTTTTCATGAGGCAGAACCTAGGTTGCCTGAAGCCCCTCTTTCTTGGGATTTTCTGGGAACTGTTTGTCATCTCTCCTTGCTCATTTCTTCTCAAAGGTTGCATAATGCCAGGATTAACTTCTAGAAAAAGTGGGGTGTGAACCAATTAAATGCTTGGCGGGGAAGAGAGGAAGGGACTATATGTATTTGCCATTCTGATCAGACCATTAAGCTTTAGGTGCGATCTTGATTTCCAGAATTTAGAAAGGCCTTTTGCTCTGAGAATTTTCACGCAGGGCCTGACCATTAGCCCAGCAAGCAGCCTCCTTAAAAGGCTTCTCTGTCATCAAAAAACTTGAACCTCAGAGCTGCGTGTAGTCCCCACAAGAGCTGTGTGCAGGGGTGAAGTCGTTTCTATCTGAATCTTACAAATATGTTGGCTTTTGCTCATCTTCACATTGTCCCATCTATTCACAGGAGCTATTAAGTGAGCTTCTACTTGGAGGGCTGGAAGAGACCCCAGAATGCCATCAGATGGCCCCCCGGCCTTGGGCAGGGCTGCATTTATTCCTTGACTAAATTTGCCCCACCTAGTGATTCCTGAAGAAGAATCCAGACACATGAGTCAGTCTCTTCCAGGCAGTTCTTTACCCAAAGAACTTGAGCTGCCCCCCTAATCGCCACCCCAGGATGTGCTTATTCTAACCTCGGTGGACGCTGAGGGTCCTCCAGCTGTGAGCCATCTCTCTCAGTCCCCTCCGATCTTCAGGCTAAGCCGTCTCAGTCGTGCCTCTGGGATAAGCACTTTGAACTGAGGGCTCCAGGTCTGGGTGGGATGAATGACAATTCTGAAAAAGCTCTGGAGTCTTACCAGTGATGACTGAGGCATTTATATTTTGTGCTATGAGGATTGTGCTTTGAGTCTAGGCGATCTGTACATTAAGAGTAAGCTCACAAGCTGTACAAAAAAAAATTAGGAAGTTACACAGTTGGTAGAGCCAGTAATCCTCGGTTGGGCAGAAGAAAGTAAAATTCTAACTGTGTGTTTTTGTTCCCTGCCACTCACACTATTAACCTATTTACCAGCAAATATCTGTGGGCTCCCTGGTCTTGCTGCTGGGGACACTTCATGAGCTTCTGCTGTTGAGTCCACTGTGAGAGCCGGGATGCGGGTGGGGCTGGGATGCATGGAGCATCCTGCCACCAGGGGGTTGCAGAGAGCTGCCGCTGTGCGTCGTAGGTCTCTTCCCATCACACTTAAAAATTCTTGTAATATGGAAAACCCACTCTGCCGCTTTCTCAGATGGTCTTTTCACTTTAATATTCACAGAGGAAAGGGCTCGTCAGAGGTCCTGGAAAGGCACAGAAAGCTGCCAGAGTGACTTATACTCACATCTTTAAGTTAAACAGCAGCCCCTGTAGATTTAGCAGTCGAGGGGGTTAGCCCTGTGCTTATCCATAGCTGAGCTCTGTGGGGAGAAGAGGCTAGGAACTTACACAGCCGGCCGAGAAACTTGATCCCTAAGCCAAGAGAGTAACATTTGGAACTGGAATGCTTAGGTTTCTGTCACATACTTTGTTTCACAACAGTGGAGACTTGAATCTCACTCTCCAAAGGCTGAGAGAGAAGGCAAGGTGAGTACACAGAGGACCACACTGTACGGCATGTCCCATAGTATAGGTGTTTATAAAGGTAGGGTGTGGGGGGGAGTCATCAGATCTCAAGTCTGTACTTTCTAGGATTATCACTTTTATATATAAAAAAAGCTGGGTTCCCTTAAGTGATGGATGAATGTTTTGCAAAGTGTGGTCTGTGGGCACTTAATGGGAATCTCCTGTGGTAATGTTAACATGCAGATTCCAGGGCCCCACCCAGATCCACTGACCCTGAATGCCTAGGGAGAGGGCCCTTTGCTTTCTATTTTCTTTGTTATGTTTTTGGGTTTTATTTCCATGCATAAAGTTTTTATGGGAGAGAGTGACATGATCCAGTTTTCATGGTTAAAAGACCACCTGGGCTCTCATATGGAGAGCAGATACTCTGTGTCATTCATCTGCCCTTCCGTCTGTCCACCACCTGTCACCTGTCCATCCATCCATCCATCCATATGGGTCATCTGATTTATGAAAATATTTAAATATTTTTATTCAGCCATCTTTTAAGATTTTATTAACAATATTGACATTATGACAAAGTTATTGGCTTATGAAGTATATTTATACATTCTACCTTTTTTGTTAAAGTGGAATCTTTTAATTTGGGGAAACCAATGATATTAATGATCATGATAATTAAAAACCAAGTAAGAATATCCTAAAAGTCAACACAACAAAAATTACAAACATTTTAGTAAAAGAACTAAATAAAACCTGTAACCATTTGTTTCCAGAACAAATACGCTTATGCATTCATCAATTTAACTGTTTTGGACAGCATTTTACTGAACAACTTTTTTCTGAATTTATTCTTTCACCAATGAAAGAATTACAATCCATAAACATGACCAAATGAGGCATAACAATCTACTAACTAGCACCTGTTTTTTCAACTTATATGAATCCATCAGATCTTTCCCTATCTATTTATCTACCTGTCAATCTTCAGCCATTTATCTGTTTGGGATCTGGTTCATTATCGTTATTATTTTTAAAATTTTATCTAATATACTTTATTCAAATTTCAGTTGTTCAATATTCTCTACAGCAAAATCGAACTTTTTTTTTTCTGGTTCAATATTCCATTCTGGGTCATGACTTCCAATGAAGAGAATCAAAGCCTAACGGTATCTACTGTGGGCTTTGACAGAGCACCTAATCGTTGCCAGGTCTGGTGCTGAGCGTGAGAGCATGCAGTCGAGGTTCCTTTTCTCATGGAGTTCACAGTCAAATGGGGAAGGTGGACC